CGACGCCTCAAACCCTGAACCCTGAACAATAAACCTTGAACCCTGAACCCCAAACCCGAAACCCTGAACCCTTAAATGAAAGGGAACTCTAAAGGAACCCTTCAGAGAACCCTCAAACTTAAATGAAAAGGAACCCTTACGAACCCTGAACCCTAAACCCTTATAAACCCTAATCTAATAAACCCAAAACGCTTGTGAATCCTGAACTCTAAACCCTAAACCCTTATCAACCCTAAACCCTAAACCCGAAACCCTGAGCCTCGTCTGGCCAGCACGGGGAGATCGGCCGCAGTGGGCATCGGAAGTCGGAACTTTGACCTGGGAACCCCAGGGCGAGAGAACCGAACCTAGGGTTTCAAGGTTTAGGGGTTTAGGGTTTCAGGATTTAGGGTTTTATAGAAATTTGCTTAGGGTTCAGGTCCGGGTGTTCTTTGGGGTTTTGGGCGGGTTTTGTCAGGGTTTCGCCTTTTGCTTTTTATTGTGAATTGTTTTGCCTTTTGCTGTTACTGTTAGGCTCTGAGGTCCAAGTTCAGGGGCCTAGATCCTAAACCCGGAATCCGAAATCCCCTGAGCCCTTAACTCCAGTTCCGTCCAACTCCGCAGCCAGAATCATAAGCCCGAATCCTGAACCCTATACTCTCCTTCCTTGTTCGAAACATGTCTAGCTTCAGCTACACTCCGTGTCCTGGACCCCCATGCCAGTTCTAGAGTCATGCGGGGGGTAGGGGCTTGCTTGAGGTTTAAAGAGCGTTGGATGAGAAGTTCGCATATGCTGAACACGAGTGTCTGAGTAATCGTTTAAGTGTATTCTCTAATGGTTCAATATGTACTCCATACGCAGGCCCCTGTATGATGGTGTTCGGACCTTTTCCTGAAATAGCGAGGTGACAGGAACCCAGGCACAAAGCGCCGAAGTCGAGCTTAAGGGTGCATGGCAAGGGGTCAGGATTAGGGTTCCTCGTCCGTCTCCTCCTCCTTCTCTTGCTATGATTACTCCGCTCCTTGGAACCAGCCCTCAGACGTGGCAAATGTGGCTTTAAATGGGGCTTCATATTATAGGGCGCTAATCATTACCTTAGTTTCCCCGGCATGTCATAGTTATCTATATCATGGTTTAGTTGGCGAGTGGAAGGAGGCATAGGGCCACGTGCTCAGTCTGGGCATCTGCAGTTTCTTCCAATCATACATTAAACCCTATACCCTCAACCCGAAAACTTAAACCCTAAACCTTAAACCCTAAACTTCAAGCCTTAAGCCCTAAACCTTAAGCTCTCTTAGGCCCTACACCTTAAGCCCTGACCTTAAGCCTTAAAACTCAAGCCCGAAATCTAAAACCCCATTAGTGTGCCAGACCTCGACATTTGACGATGCCTCCACTGGAGTCTCATCCAGACACAGATTGATATAGGGACCTTTAAGGTTTATGGAATACGGGGTTTAGAGTCTAGGGCTTACGGTTTAGAATATAGGACTTTGAATACATTCAGCAGCTCTAAGTGCCTTGAACCCAACGACCAAGGCGCGCTAAGGGCCATGAATGCATAAGCCCCCAATGATCCCCCAGAGCAGCTAACCCAAAGCACGAAACACTAACACTACCCCAAACCCCCAAACCGCTAAACCCTAAACCCCTAAACCCAACCCTAATTAAACCTAAACCCCCGGACCCTAGTTGAATCCTAAAACCCTAACCCTACACCCTAAAACCTGCAGTCCCGAAGCACCGCTCCATGAATTGGGCTCGGACCAGGCTGAACGACGCGAGACGTCGACAACTTCGCTATGAACTGGGGTCCTGGAAAAGCTAATCCGGGAGATTTGAGACATGAATGCATAAGGGACTTCATTGTGATGCATAGCATATTCCCCAATTGGGCTCTTTGGCTACGCCTTGGGGCTTTGGCGCGTAGCGCTTTTGGAGTTTAGGGTGTGTCATCTGAAATTTTCTCATACGCACATAAACACATACTATACACATACACAAATATATACATATATATATATATATACATATACATATGTATATATGTATACATGAGCCCGACATTTTCGGGTCTATTTGAGCACGTTTTTGCATTTACAATCCGGAAGACTTAGCTAAATACCACATCACCGCATAATTATACCACAGCAGTACATAAATCAGTAAGTGTGAAAGGTTTCTACCTTGTCTCCCTCAACACATAAGTAACAATGGCCCGAATTACGCAGAAGACGGGATTAAGCATACTAACTGCCGTATAACTTTTTAGTCAAGGACATGTCGAACAGAGGTTCTAACCCATGAAACATAAATACTGACATAAAATACTGTTTACACCCCTGCCGCTGGGAACATTGCTACTCACAGCCCGACACACACAAGAATACAATTAACTATACGGCGTACTTTTCCATACCTGCTATTGAAAGTTCCATTCAACAGGTACATCACATTGGCAAACACGGGAAGTCAGAAGAAGTAGCGTGCCTAATGTGTTGCTGGGAACCCCACTGTAACCCGTGCAAACACGAAAAGTCATCTGATGGATTGTTCACAATCTGTTGCTCAGAATAGAAGCATAATTATCTTTTCATGTCGATATGTTGACGACATGACATGCTCTGAAAAAACTCCATACCATGTATATGTCATGATAATGTACCGGTACTGGTGTGATGCATGCTGTATGGCCACGTTATTGGGAGGATCCACATGCCCATATCACAACCTCATATAATAAGTATATGTCGTTGATTATCTGTTATCTGCTGCCCTGTTACGGAGTACTCGAAATAAAACCCATCTCATCCCAAAAAATATGCCTAACAATCCTGAAGTTGTTCCCCAAAACCCTAAACCCTAAACCCTCAAGCCTAAACCCTAAACCTTAATCCCTAAAAACTCCTCAGCATTCTCTGAGCCTCTGGTCACACGGTCGAGACATGAGCCGGCAGGCACCATCCATATGTTTCTGTGCAACAAAAACATAGTGGATTCACGATTATGGATCAGCGGGCGTTTCCAGCATTCCACGTAGCAAATTGGTACGGCTTCGGCCAGGAAACCGTTAACAGGAACTGTCGTCCCTGTTGGCTTGGATGATGACGTAGGCAGTGGGACCTCAGCAAACTTGCAAAGCAGACTCTACGAAGTGCTGCGTCAAGTCTTCACTGTTTTGGGCGTAAATACGAAGTGCTGCGTCAAGTCTTCACTGTTCTGGGCGTAATGACACGCAGAGTTCACGCCAAGCTCGAAGCACAAGCTCCGAAGAGTTGGGCTCCATCTGTGCATCGTGCATAAATGCATAGCTCTCCTCATCTTCACAGCCAAGCTCGCAACGAAGGAGGGGAAGTCTTGGATATTGCTGCAGTGGGAGCACCCTCATAAAGTCTAGCGGTCTATAATCGATCGTGAATTGGGCTCTGTGCTGTTCTGAACCTGGCTCTACAGAGCCTTATTGGCTTGAACCATGCAAGAGGACGAATGACAAGAACAGACAACCAATCAACAATGAAAAAGAAAAGGCGTGCATAGCCAACCGCCTTACCCACGACGACTTCAAGACCTCTTCGTGTTTGTTGAGGGAAAGGAAGTCGGAAAGCATCTCAGGATGCATACCAACAAAACTAAACCCTAAACCCTACTAAGAAACAAACAGATGAGAGGTGCATGTCCTAAGCCCTAAACCCTAAGTCACTAAACCCTTAAACCCCAAGCCCGAAACCTTTTAAACCCCTAAACCCTAAGCTTCAAACCCTAAGCCAACACAGCCCTAAACCCTAAACCGCTAAAGCCTACGCCATCAAAAGTAAACCCCTAAACCTTCAGCCCCACACCTTCAAGCGTTCAAACCCTAAACCCGGAGGCCAAAACTAAACCTAGACCCCTGAACAAACCCAGTGCTCCTGACGTGTCCAAAAGCTGCTGAGGCCTGCCCACTGGCTGCCACAACGTTTTTTGGTTTGGATTTAGGACTTTGGGTCTAGTGCCAAGTTGAAAGGTACCTTGAAGGGCTCTGCAAAGGGCTTTGCGCTGTAGGATGATATTGGTAAAGAGCTTAGGGCTACAGGGTTCAGGGAGTGTAGCATCCTTGTGGTTGATTTAGGGTGCCATAAAGTGGCAAATAGTGGCAACAAGGAAGCAGACAGTTGAGCAGGGTTAGTGGGCCATCCACTGGCTCAACACATGTCGACAGCCTCCGCGGCAGCATTGCATGTGACATGCCACGTCCGTCGCTCAAAACCTGGAGCTCCTGCTTTTCTCTTCTTTGCCTTCGTGGATCGTCGATAAACCCTAAACCCTAAACCCTAAACTCTAAACCCTAAACCCTAAACCCTAAACCCTTTTTCTGTCGCGGTCTGGGCCGGTTTGGGCTCCAGCGACATTGGAGACCAATTCGAAACCGTCGTCGGAGCTCCCCAGGCCCTGAGGTAGCACTTGAACCAGACATGAGGATGGACTCCGGCGCTGTGCCAAAGGACATGGCCAGCAACAAACCCAGGGGAAGAAGCCAAGTGCGCGGAAGGGCTTGTGCGCACCTCGGATGTTGCAGGATGATCGTTTGGATGATATCCATTGACGGTTTAGATGATACGGGATGATGGCTTGGATGATACGGAATGATGGTTTGGATGATGCGGGATGATGATTCGGGTCAGATACGATGACTGTTCGGATGATGTGTTATGATGGTCCGGGACCGGGGGAAACCTTAACTCCAAACCCTACCAAAAGTTCTACAAGACCCCCTTCGCCTGGTTTGAGCTATGGCACCTAGGTAGATAAGGGTATTGGGAATCAGAGATTCTCCCAAGATAGATATGTGTATTTTGGGTGGGTGGTGCCACATGCCGAGAAACGGCGAGGTGGGTCCGAATTGAGGGGTGGGGGCCACGAAACTGCTGCAGGGAAACAGCGAAAGAAGCATTCACTATGTTCACCCTGCAACACCGCCTCCCTTAATCTATGACACTCAAGGTGAGACACGGAAGCCTCTCAGCAGTCGCCATCGAGCCCGTCAAGGAAGGCAGGCAAGAACAGCCAAACCAGAACAAACCACAAGGAACAGTTGAGGGTCGTCTCTGGATGTCTGGCACAAAAAAACACCAGTGCAGAAAGATAGTACGCAAGAGTCCCGAAGCTCTTTCGATGTGACTGTCGCTTTCTCTCTTTTCTTGGCATTGACCCCACCTTTGACCATGCACGTGTCAAACTGGATGCATAAGAAGATTGCCAAGATCAGGATCACCATGCGCCGGGCTTTCACGGTAACGAGCCGGGCCATATCCGAACTCTGGAAGGCAAAGTAGCTAACTACGAGCCAGCAGCTGCAGCCTGAAACACTGTGTTTGGTGAGGATGGGCAGCTGGTTAGCATACAGCCCGTGTGTAACAGCCGACATGACACCGCAACATCAACCAATGTCCCCATGCTCCCGTCATGCTGAATTCACCTTGACTTCTGCGGATCCATTGCCTGTTGCAGATTCTATCTCGCTCAACATGACAACCCTTAGCCCCAACCCTGAACCAAGTTATAAAAGAAACTCTATAGGACCCCCCTTGCCTAGTTAGATGTATGGCACCTAGCTAGAAGTAAGCACTATTCCTACGATGGTAACTTAGGTTGGGCTCTTTGGGTAGATAGGCTAGTCTTGGGGCTGAAATCTTAGGATAGATTTTACCCTAGGGCGGGGGCTGAGATCTTAAGATAGATCTTTATCCTAGGGTGGGGGGGTGGGGGGTGCCATACGCCTAAATAGGCAAGGTATCATCTAACTCTATAGAGGTTACTTCAGGGATCTATAGGGGTTCCTTTAAGGGACCTTTTAGGGTTCCTTTAAGGGATCTATAGGGGTTCCTTTAAGGGTTCTATAAGGGTTCCTTCAAGATATCATCGACCCTAAACAATAAACCCTAAACCCCCTAAACCCTAAGCCCTAAACCCTAAACCCCCCTTAAAGGAACCCTTCCTTGAAAGGAGTGCCAGGGCGGGGCCTTGGACGCAGTTTCCGAGGCTCCTTCGGCTTCGGCCTTCGAGGAAGCTTTGTTTCTGGGTTTAGGGTTTTAGGGTTTAGGGGTTTAGGGTTTAGGGGTTTAGGGGTTTTAAGAGTTTTTATTGTTGAACGCCTGTTTCCTTAGCCTTGCGGTCTCGGAACATCTGATACGGATGAGACGTACTAGCCAACTCGTGACGCCCTCAGTGGACGACCTGGTGCTCTTCACGAACCTCCTGCCGACATCGTAGATGCGTCAAGCTGTGTGATGCGCGGTCGATCTTGCTCCATCAGCCCTGTCTGGCATGCCTCTTCGATTGCTTCCACTTGAACTCCGACTGACCCTTGCGGCTCGACAGCATCGATGACCTGGCTCCGTGAAAGCCCCTGCGACTCAGGTAGTACCTCAACTTGCCCTAGCTGTTGACTTCGTCATTTGCTTTGAAGGGTTTAGGGTTTCGCCCGGTGGTTTTCTAGGATTTTATATGATTATGGCTCAGGGCTTAGGGATTAGGGGTTTATGGAAAAGGGTTCAGGCTAGGGCTAGGGGCTGTTATAACTTAGGGTTCAGGGTTTGGGGTTGAAGGTTTAGGGAGTAGGGTTTAAGGGATAGGGTTTAGGGCTAGGGGCTGTTCTGGCTTTGTTAGGGCTTGTAGGATTGAACAGGAGTTCTATCTATCAGGGGTGGATAGAAGGGTCCTGTGGAGCTGCGCGGTTTGCGATTTAGTGTTCGGTGTTTAAGGTCCTGGGTTTTGAAAAGTGGTGGCTTTATGCAAGCTTTACAGGGGGCCACAGGGCAGAGGGCGTGCGAGGACTGATTCCCCGGCTTGCATGCCGCCTCGGCCGCCTTAGCCGTCGACGGTTTACAACCCGCCTTCGCCTTGACCGCCACAGCCTTGGGCAATAAGAAACCCCCAAAATAGTATCGGTAATTATGAAGGCCCCTAAACCCTGAACCCTATAGATCCCTTAAAGGAACCCTTAGAGTCCCCTTCAAAGCCACCGTTGACCGACAGGGTCGAGAGCAGAAGGCTCTGATGTTTGCATCCGGATGGATCTCAGGGGGCCAGGACTTCTGCTGCAGGACGAGTTTGGCTGCCTGTAATAATAGTAACAATAGTAACAATAGTAATAATAGTAATAATAGTAATAATAGTAACAATAGTAACAATAGTAATAATAGTAATAATCGTAACAATAGTAACAATAGTAATAATAGGCTCGGTGGCCGCACGACCAGTTGTCCTTCTGCTCGCAGACATTCACCTGCCTGACGGTCAGCGAGTAGTTCCAATGCTTCTCCACGTGGAGGCTGACCGCTTCCGCGGAGTCTGACTTTAGGCTCCAGCAAGTTTTGGGGGTTTAGGGTAGTTAGAATTGGAGTCATTAGTACCCTAACACAGCCGTTATAGTCATCCGACTTTTTCTAGCAACCCATGAAACTCCAAGTATCTGTACAACCTCATGCTGTCACTCCGCCCAATGTTCGGTCACACTGGCCTGGTTGTGATTGTGGGCGAATACATGGAGATGACATCCTAGCGCATGAAACATCAAAATGACAGTAAGGTTCTGCAAATTGATAGAAATCTGGCAGGCGTGTACAACTGGTGTCTGTCGTAGAAGCTTAGCACGAAGGCGTTCAGGATCAGATTAAAATGCTAAGCTAGTAGTACGAGACGAACTCTTTAAGCAAGCGGTTAAAATTGCAGTGCGCAGGCCACGCAGTTCAATCTCTCGGCCCTCAAGCCTAAACCCGAAAAATGAAACCCTAAACTCTGAACCATGCTAAACCCTCAACCCCTAAACGCTTAATACCTGTGTTTCCTCTCGACACGGCACGACCTGAAAAGCTAGACGTCTTGGTATTGGTCAGCAGCCAACCCCAACTTAGAACCTTAAGAAAGTGGCCCAAGTCCCCGACGACAGGGCAACATTGGGTGGGGGGGCGGGGGGGCGGGGCTTTGATGATTAGAGCAGGGTTCCCCGTTTAGCATAAGCATGTATGCAGAATCGCACCATCTTCCCCAAACCCTAAACCCTACACCCTAAACCCTAAACTGGCCTGAATCGCACCAAACGCTGTACACTACTAACCAGTGGTTTTGGGCTTCCCTGGGCTCTCTAGCTCCTTATTCAATAGGGAGTATCATCATCCCTAGCTCCTTAGCTCCTCCGATATCAACGGTTAGCTAAACCCCAAACCGGCCTCCTCATCCTCGTCGTCTGAAGCTGCGGGAGAGTCCTGCGGTGAACTGCAGCGGATCCCTCACCCCAAACCCTAACATGGGGGCCTTGATAATTAGAACAGGGTTCCTTTAAAGAGGTCCCATAAGGTTACTATAAGGGATCTATAAGGGTACTATAAGATAGGGGCCTTAATCATTAGAATAGGGCTTTTAGGGCCCAGTATTCTCTATTTAGAATAAGGAACCCCCCAAATAGTGTTGGTAATTGCTTAGGCCCCTATAGTAAACGGAGAAGTTTCAGACCTGAACCAGAAACGGCGTGCGACTGAAGATGGGGAAGTGCACTTGATTCGAGATATAGCCGACTTCCTGCATCGGCCCGTCGGAAATGCGGCTTCCGGTTTAAGACGAAACCCCGAAAAAGCCCGAATAACAGTCGAGTAACTTGAAGGCCCGAAACCTGTAGTACAGGGGGCCTGCCTTTTGGGCAGGGAGCCATTCTATCGTAAGACTATGCAGGGACTGCAATGGGGGGAAATATGACGAAATATTCCAACCTCAAGAGCAGGACGCTGGAATGGCTGAAAAGCTTTGGGCTCCTGGGCTACGGGGTTTGGAGTTACTGTTGATGATACAAATCCTACATTACCCATTGTAAGGAATATACCATCATTTCCATAGTTTAGGGCCCTCAAGGTCATGCAGCATTCATATCATCAGTCGTTATCACGATGCCAGGATCGGCAACTCGTGGCTTTTGGTTACAGAGGGTTCACAACCGATTGCCTTGGGACGCCGTGACGATCGTGTTACTGGGCCCTTTGGTAGTAAGTCCAAAGCCCGAACCCTAAACTTTACCTGCACGGGGCTCTTCCACCCCCAACCCCAAACTCCAAAACCTTTGACCCTTAAGTTTTAGAAGCCCATTACAGGTGGGTAGTTCCTCTTCCATAGTACTCCCATAAGACCCCTTTACCTTATAGGAGTGGTATGGGAGGATTATGGGAAACTACCCACCTAATAACTACCCACCTGTAAATGGCTTAGAGGTTTGGGGCTCATTATCCCGAGACCCCAAAACCCAAAACACTAAAAGCTCGATCCTAAACCCTGAATTCGAATCAGACCCTAAACCCTAGACCCTAAGCCTTAAGTTCTAATTCCCTAAACCCCTAAAGCCCAAAACACTAAACCCTAGACCCTCAACCCCAAAACACTAGACCCGAGACTCGAAACCTTGTACCCTAAACCGCCTAGACTAAACCCTAGACCCTAAACCTGGTAAACCCCTAGTCCGCAGACCCTAAGTCCCAAAACACTATACCCTACCTAGAGGCTCATACCCTGCCCCTTATTTAGGATACCTAGTTTTATGATTAGGATCTGCTATCTTAAAAAATAGGCGCCCTAAAAAGGGGTTGGGTGCCAGCCTCGCTCAAAAACACGAAAGCCTACTTGGAGGTTCATGGGAAGTACTAGGTGGGCTTATAAGTCCCCCAACATGGTTATAGCTATAGTTATCCTACTTATCACCACACTTATAACCACCCATGAACCTCCTCTTATAGAACCCTTATACAACCGTTATAAAGCCCTTACAGGACCCCTTTAAGTCCCACTTATAACTACACATGACCCTCCGAGTAAGACCCAGAGATGGGGGCTGAGACGTCCGTTCCTCCTGCTCATCAGAGCGCGGGGATACCAGCGGAGGTGCCTCCAAGAGCTCCCCATAAGGGTTTCATACCCAGAGTTCCGGGAGGATCCAAAAAGGAGATCCCTTTTTGTTCTTAGGTAACTTTATAAAGAACCTAGGACTACAAAAATGGAATAAGGGTACTACTGGGCATCCTAGTTCAAGGGTTCCCATGAAAAGTTCTTTAAGGGTTTCGCCTAATTGTGGCATAGAGTTAGGGCTTAGTGATTTAGGGTTTTGGAGTGTCAGGGTTTAGGGTTTAGAGTTTAGGGTTTGGGGGATTAGTTGGCTTTCGGTGTAGGGTTTAGCCTTTAGGCCTTGACTCTTGGGGTTTACAGCGTAAGGTGCAAACCCATGACCCCGCAACTTCAAGCGTCTTCGTACTCGGATTCCTCTTGGATTCC